TCACCAAAGGAGCTACAGTGTAAGGAGCTTAAAAGGGTAACACAATATACTTAAACCCTCAGGTGGCAGCAGAATGGCTATGATGTGGTACCTGGAGGCAGGCTGCAGATTGACGACCAGATGAGGCTGAGAATCGATGGCATCCGAGACTCGGACCAGGCGACCTACACCTGCGTGGCTGGGCCTGTCAACGACAGCTTCACCCTGTATCTGAAAGGTCAGGTCACATCACTGAGATTTTCTTGCCATGAAGTCGATGTGTTGTCATGTGGTCAGGTTTACCAGTTGTTCTAATTTGGAGTTTATTATGCAGTGAAACCTGCCCAAGAAGGCCATGTCAAGTCAGCTAATTAACTAGACTAAATTTGTTTAATGGGTTGATTGATTGATTGATTGATTGACCGATTGATTGATCATCTTAAAACCCTGCTAGAACTCAAATAGAGCATCTTTAACACAGAATTCTGACTGCACTGAGATTGACTGATAGGGCATGCATAGTCAATCAATTGACAGGTTGTCTGTCTGTCCATACAGAGCCATCCTCAGCCCAGAGAGAGCAGCTCCCTAAGATCTACCCCCGCCGAGCCAACTTTACCCAGAAGTCCTACAGCACCATGGTGCGGGTGTGGGTTGGCGCCGATGCCTTCCTCTACCCAAACACACGGGTCGTCATCAAGTGTCCTGTCAAGAACTTCCAGAGGTCACAGATAAGGCGAGACAGGGACACTTCATAACACTTAGTATTTAGTATTACACAGGCAATTACTGAGAGCCTCATTGACATTAAATATAGTTTCTTGTTACAACCGTATGCACATGTGCATTGTACTCTGTTCATTCAGCTTATGAAAAAGTGATACATTCATTTTGAATTATTCAGTTCATACCTTTATGTTTGACTGTGACTGCAAAAAGTTATCCTGCCCCACCTAACAAAGTTAACATTCAGGATGCTAAGGTAAGCTGTTTGGCACCAAATTGAATGCACATGAAAATTTGTTATGGAGTTATGCAGCAGCCGGAAGGTTACAATCCTTACAGTGCTAATTTCCACGTATATCCAGATGGCAGCATGAAGGAGAGGAGGTCACCAAACTCAACAGGGGAGTGAAGAAAATGAAGAGCGGGGCCCTGTCCATTATGAAGATGTCGACTCTACAGACAGGCACCTTCACTTGCATGGCAGGGGCAGCCAGAGAATCTGTCAGACTTCACCTTATAGGTAATGAAGAGGCACCTTTAAATATGTACTAGGGACAGCCCTGTAATGCTTCTTAGACTTGAGTGATGTTGGGAATTGCTTGAAGGAGAGAATATGCATGCACTTGTTACTTTGATGTATGATTGGATATTTTGGGGTAGTTAAAGCTATACCTATTGTTATACTAATCTAATAGTTTCACAGGTATAAATTAGTCTTTGTTCGTTCAGTTCAGCCTCAAAAAGGCTATGGGACTTAACCTACTTGTCTCACTTGATTATGCGACTTGGTGCCTACCCTCTAGGTGGTATATCCAGTGAAACTAGCACACCTTTCAGCCCCACCATCAGCCCACAGCCAAGGCCTGATGAGCTCAAGGCTCCTGAAGTTCCCAGGCTAGCAGCCACAGTCCCGGAAAGACAGCAGACTGGACTCGGACAGCCACCTGTCATCTACAGGGAGCGCATTCCTCCTATGCTAAAGGTGATCTTGACTTAAGCTCCTGGCTCATACAGATACGTTATTGTATACCAGTATTTTCAAATTTTCTATTTCATTAATTTTTTTCCAAGAGCCCAAAACACTTATCGAGAAGAGTTGGGGTGAACCGGTGTGTTTGGCTATAAATGAAATGCAAGTCGTCACAGAGCCGCATTGCACTACTAACTAATGAAAAAGCTTAAAGGTTGCCCGCTTTATCTTGTTGTAGAGTATTCAATTTTCTTTCCTTCTTGCCCAGACTGAAGGCCATGTGGTGGTGTATGTTGGCAGCCCGGTGATTGCAGCGAGTGTGGAGTCCATCACCATCCTGTGTGAGGTGCCGGGAGCCAAGCCCAGAATCACATGGACCAAAGATGGGGCAGGCATGCCAAATGAGCCACGGTTGGTCTGCAAACATTTCTAAAGCTTCAATCAATCAATTAATCAATAAATCAATCATCAGATTTTTAAGGTTTCAAATGTAGTGTTGCTACATAAGTCCTTATAATAAGCAAACTGTGTCCTTTTTTATTGTTTTTCCTTTTTTTATTGTTTTTTAGGTACCAGCTGTGGAGAAATGGTTCCCTGACAATCAACAAACCCAGACACTCAGATGCTGGTTCTTACACTTGTACAGCAACTAATGCAGCTGGCAGAGACTCAGATACTTCACTAGTTAGTATTGCAGGTAACATCAAGAAGACAGACGCATGTTTTTTTTTGTCAGCTTAGTTATACTGTTGACATGTCATTAATTGCTTCTTTGGTAGTAAGGGCATTTATGTCATAGCTGGGCCATGATAACGTTCAATATTGGTGTTCCAGACTACATGTATGTGATAACTTGAGTTATCACACATGTTTCCTAAAGTGGAACACTGATATATTCATCTTTTTATCCCAACAGAGGCCCCAGATATTCTGTTCAGGAATAGGGAAGAGATGAACCTTGAGGATGACCTTGTGTCTGTCACTGTGGGAGGAAAGGTCAAGGTCAAACCAGGAGCCACTGTCACAATCCACTGCCCAGTCCGGGGTAAGTTACCTGTTATTTAGACCCTCTTGTGGAAGACTTTATTCTACTCCATGATGAATTTACTTTATCTACTGCTCTGAGTTGATAAGAGTTTGTTGGTATTGTTACTTTATGTGCTCATAACATGGAATACATATTTTTTCCAGCACCACAAGGAAGCATATAATGCCAATCTTACTTTATTTCTGTTCCCCTAAACAATAGGCTTTCCCAAGCCCTTCATTAACTGGGACAAACTGAATGGTACCCTGGAGAGAAATGCCAATGTCCACCCCAACGGCTCGCTGACCATCACAAATGCCTCGGAAGGTGACCAGGGAGCGTACCGGTGCGAGGCTGGCAACCCTGGAGGAAAGGACATGAGAGATTCAACTCTGATCCTTTTAGGTGTGATGAAGCAAACTGATGTGATTTTGTGTGGCTTAGTATGGTAATTTGAACTACGACAGATCCCTTTGACTGTGTGAATGGCATGTTCAGCACCAAGGACAGGTACCTTCAGTAGTGTGAATGGCATGTGTCAAGTCCTTTTAGTTTTATAGATACCAGCACCATTAACAGATCCCTTCAGCCATATGAATGTTGTGTTCAGCACCAAGGACAGGACCCTTCAGCTATGTTTATTGTTTGTTCAGTACCAGGGACAGGCCCGTTCAGATTTGTGAAGTGTGTTCAGCTCCAGGGAAAGTTGCTCTAGCTGTTAGAATGCTGTTTGTGTTATAAATGATTTTGTGAGCTCCAGGGAAAGCTTTCTTAAACGGTGTGAACACAATTCACACATCCAATAATTCTGCACTGTTGATATTCTTGTAACCGAATGCTTTTGAAATGTTCCAGAGCACCCTCACTTGGTGGAGGACCTGCGGCTGCTTCCTCGTCTGGACGCGCTGGTCAGTGCTAACGGCGGGGTCGTCGTCCTCACGGGGAAAAAGGAGAAGGACACCATCGCCAGGATGACTGGGGAGCAGCTGGCCATAGGTAGGGGTCAAGAGAGGTCACAAGAAAAAAAAACTGATGTCGTGCTTTCATCAAGTTTTGATAATTGGTCTCCCTCTGCTCTCTCAGCTGCTGCCTACTGGTACCAAGGAATTTCCCCAAGCTGTTACCAAAAGACTATGTTTCTACTAAGATTACAAAACCCACTCATTATGCAGAATGTGGAACTGTTCACTATCCACTGCCTTCTAAGAAGAAGTCCATGATAGTAAATGTAGCACCTTACAGTTGATCAGACAGTCGTAGTATGTTCAATGTAACTTAACTTTGCATTTACTTTCTTTGATACTGTACATGCAATAAGCCTTCAATAATATGGTCTGATCTCTGTTAGCCTGTCCCATCAAGGGGTTCCCTGAGCCCCCGATCACCTGGTTGCACAACAACCGAGTCCTGCAGCAGGGGGACCCTCGGATCCTGCTGGTGGAGGAGGACCATGTGGTCAGGATAACTGCCATCAAGAAGGAGGACAGTGGCCTGTGGAAGTGTCAGGGCAAGAACGAAGCTGGGACAGCCAGCGCAAACCTCACTCTCTCTATCTCTGGTGAGTTTATAACTGTTTGTAACTGTGAATGATGTGTTCAGCAGCAAGGACAGGTCCCTTCTACCATGTGAATGGTGTGTTCAGCACCAAGGACAGGTCCCTTCTACCATGTGAATAGTGTGTTCAGCACCAAGGACAGGTCCCTTCTACCATGTGAATAGTGTGTTCAGCACCAAGGACAAGTCCCTTCTACCATGTGAATGGTGTGTTCAGCACCAAGGACAAGTCCCTTCTACCATGTGAATGGTGGGTAGTACAGTGACATTGCCAGGATGGCTAGCACTAACCTCACAGCCTCTATTTCTGGTGAGTTCACAACTGTTTGTAACTGTGAATGGTGTGTTAAGCACCAAGGACAGGTCCCTTTAGATGTGTGAATGGTTCCTAGCACAGGAACCATGCCAGAGCTGTCAGTGTTAACCTCACTGTCTCTATTTCTGGTGAGCTCATAACTGTTTGTAACTGTGAATGGTGTGTTCAGCACCAAGGACAGGTCCCTTCTACCATGTGAATGGTGTGTTCAGCACCAAGGACAGGTCCCTTCAGATGGGTAAATGGCACAGGAACATTGCCAGGATGGTCAGTGCTAACCTCATACTCTGGTGAGTTCATATCTGTTTATAATTGTTAATGGTGTGCTCAGCACCAAGGACAGACCCCTAGCTGTGTAAAAGATTATTTTGTAGTCCTCCTGCCGACTTTGTACCCCCCTCACAGGGTACAGCTGGGTCCCCAGGGAGACCTCTGAGTGTTCAGCAACGTGCGGTAACACGGGCAGGTACTACCGCATCCTCCGCTGCTTCAACGATGAGGTGCAGGTACCGGACGCCTACTGTGACAACATCCCCAAACCTGAGGTCATCTATGAGCCCTGTAATGTTGACGACTGTCCTCCAAGGTGGGTATAGCTGCAACACATTTGCTAGAATGTTCCCTGCATGTTTGGCCAGATATGACCAATGTGACCAAATTTCTTATTTTGGAATAAAGTATAATTTTTCCATAATGCTTGTTCCAGATGGGCCTCGTCTGGTTGGACGGCCTGTTCTGTGACCTGTGGGTCAGGGGGTCGAGAGGAGGGGGGTCAGGTGTGAGAGGGTCATCTACGACGGTCGTCTGGAGCAGCTGGATGAGTACTACTGCGAGGTTCTGGATGAAGCCCGACCCGTGGACTCCCGGGCGTGCAACATGGGCTACTGTAATGATGAGCCACCACGGTGGAACACTAGTGCCTGGTCTGCTGTAAGTTTGCAGTCAAATCTTTCAGGACACTGTACATGTATGTGGCATTGGGTGGTGTAACTGTCAGTCTGTGGTTGGCTCAGAACCAAGGGTTCAATCCCCAGACAAGTCTAAGCACAGTAATAATAAACAAGTTCATTTTACTAAACAAAGGATACTGTCCAAATTGAGCCTCACTAGGTGTATTTTGTTACCTTCTTCCCTCCACCAGTGTGATGAGCAATGTCTAAGACCGAACGTTGCCTACCAAGAACGAGAAGTCCTCTGTGTGGCCTCTAACGGGACGGTACTTGACTTCTCAGAGTGTAACCGTGCCACTCTGCCAGAGAGAAGACAGGAGTGTTACGCACCACGCTGCAAAGCCGTCTGGACTGCCTCGGACTGGGGGGAGTGTTCAGTAACGTGTGGACAGCATGGTCAGTTTCGGTTTTGCTTTGCTTTGTTTCAGTCCTAGTTGCATTAACTTGACTAAGGCCCTTTCACACTTTGATAGCAGAACCATGCAGAATGAAGAGTCGGCAAAATTGTGCAAAATTGTGCCATTTTGGAAAAAATGTATGATGACTGTTTCAATAAATTTGGAAGGAGGAATGATCTGTGTAGTACTTACCCCGTCTGCAAGGTGGTGCTTATAGACCTGCATGTATGATTGTTGGTTTTGAGCAATCTGGACCAGTACTTACCTGGCTCTTAGTGCTTTCCTACCAGGACATTTGACTTAATCATGTCTAAAACAATGCGGCCCAATCATGAGTGTATTGTAGGTCCTGTTTTGTTTTTCCTTACAGGTCAGCAGACCCGAACCCTGTCCTGTGTGTACCTTGGTACAGATGTGGAAGCGGAGAATGCCTGCGATGACATGAAACAGCCACCCATGTTACAGAGGTGTAACCTCATTCCTTGTGATGCTGGTAAGTTTGTCAGGTTCTTGTTCTAACATTAAAAAATTAGTGGCTCCGGCAACAATGCTCAAGCCATCTTCCCCCAAGTATATCAAACTGAGATGTAAGTCTACAAGAGGTGACTACTTAGATCATTTTCCCATTGACTCAAACAAGAATCATGTCCATACTGGCCTACTGTTGGCTCTGACAGATTTCTTTATATTATTATAATATAAGTCTTTTTAGTGGTCACTATAGACAGAGGCTTGACTAGTTTCCTTTCTTATTTTGGTGAGGTACTCCATCAGGGAAAAGCATCCACAATGGACTACTCTGCAGTTTATCGGTGTGTTCTCAGATGCAGATGGACCTTATCCTTGAAGTTACCCAGATCTGGGGTTATATATAAATATTGTGTCTCTTTTCTACCAGATGAATGCACGGACTCGTCAAACTACTGTTCGCTGGTGCTGAAGTTGCGTCTGTGTTCGGTGGCGAGGTACCAGCAGGACTGCTGCGAGAGCTGCACAGGACCACGGGAAGTGCAGGTAGAGGAGGAGGAGGAGGAGGAGGAGGAAGAGTAATAGTTCAGCACATCTCTCGTCTTAAGGCCCGGTCACATTTGTTGTAGGTCTTCATACAATTCTGATGTCATAGGATTTCCTGCCAAGCTCACTGTGTAGTATCCAACCACCGACAAGGATCTACATTGTAAGGCAGCCTTCTCTCTCTCAGTAACAGACAGACGAATTTTGTACAACACATGGATTATCCCAAGAATGCCCTCATTTTGCAGTTGTACAACATATACGTGTATGTGACCGAGCCCTTAGAAAATTGTTTGTTCTGTTACTTTTTAGGTTCACTCACCCTTCAAGTATGATTTTAGAGACATTTAATACAACAATTTTATGCAGTTTTGCATCCTTAACTTTTAAGCAGGTCAGTTTTACACACTGTTAGATGAGATTAAGAATAATTGCAGCTGTCAGCCACTATACCAAGAACTTGTGAATAATGTATTGTATTATAATGTGGCTCCATACTACATGTAGTGATTTTTGGTGCTGATCAGTTTTTACTTGTCATACTTATACGAATACACAATCATCCTATTTATTAACCTTTTGTGATTCTATCAGACTTTTCTAGAACCAAAACAATGTGAAAAAAGTTTCCCTGGGAAGTTCAGTTGACGATTTATTGTCCAGGCTTTTACTCTTACTAATGGATTTTTTATTTTGAGAATAGTCCTCAATACTAAAGAATTAAGTAAATACCATGATATATTTATTTTGTATTTGGGGAAAAATTAAGTTAAACATAGATAGTACATGAAGGATGATATACATGTATATGGATGCAATATGAACTTCAAGGTAATATCAGAGTCCTAGCTGTCCAAACACTAACAGGTTTATATAGTCTGGTCGCAGTCAAATGCAGTTTTAGTTCTAGATCTTCAACTACTAATTTTTAACGACCATATACACAGTGAACTAGACACAAGTAATACATATGTTTTAGGTGGAAATGAACAATGGAATTAAATGGAACACAGAGCTACTGAGCATACTGATGGAATGTTCCTGTTGAGAGTTGACCTCCCAAGCTTATAGGCATCTTTCTGTGGTATCAAGTTGAAATAAAGTTGCCTTTAATATACGATCAAAATCTAAGAAATAGTCTTGTTAATATAGTTGTCTTTGGCAGTGTTGCATTTTACATAACCATACATTAAATAACTTTATGTTTGGATTTTCAATTATCATCATTTTGAAGATATGAGATCAAAGCTTGAAATATCCCCTGATGACCTTAATTGTTACAGTAAAACACTGAAACTGCAATTAAAAAGCAAAACCAACAACACATTTTCCACGTAAAATTTATTTAAATCTGTTAAAGATGTGGACAAAATGTACATCACTGACAACTCTACATTCAAGAGAAAGTCAACTGCAATGATTTAGATTATGATGTCATATTTCATCTCTGTTATTAGTCTACATGATGTTGTCTAATCATATATACATGAAGCTGTTTGTTTTCCTCTAACAAAGTTCTTATCTATAAAAATTATAAATTTCAGTATTTTGGGGTAGGAAAAATTCCCTAATGCTAGACTTACAGCTAATGTCACCATGTAATTCATTACAAAAGTGCTGATAAGGAAAACCTTACAAAAATAGGTCATCTTTTAGCACATACGTCCTTTGCAGCATCTGAGCAAAGTAAAATTACCTAAAGTACAAAAGGGGCTTAGAGGAGGGCAATAGGACATTCAGGTTCTTTTGCAAAAGGAAATTCCCAGGATCTCAATTTTCAGTACCCGCTTGTAGAATTTTACTTTGCATATCAATCTTTTGCATTGTTTAATACCAATTGATTCCCCTTATTTTCATGGGCCATTTTTTAATTTTTTTGTACACTCCCTCTAAGCTTCTTTAAATTGCCATGGGGCAAATGTTAATACCTAAAACTTCAGGCTAAAATAACTTTGTCTACTAGGCACAGCACCAGTCATTCCCTAACATTCATTACATGCTTGTTGATGGTCTGATCTGCAGATATACCTTGTATCAAAGTATGGTTAGTCTACCCCTTAGATAAAGACAGGTAATTTTTTTGGTGTTCAATGCTAGAAAATTAGACTCTAACCTTGCAAAATATACAAGCACTGCAAATCTAAGATCTGCAACTTAACAGTCATCATCAAAAATGACGACAAACAACATGAAAGATATACAAACTACAATCTGAAAGCAGCACCCAATATTCAAGTGTCAATGTAAGTTTCCCTTCATACAAAAGGTCAGATTGTCATGAACTGATTTGTTAGACTTTACAAAAATGTCAAGATTCAGATTGTGTTTTCCTGAGGACCAAAACACTGCTGATTCTTTATACTTTGTATCCTCATTTATGAGGCATCTAATAAGACTGTCATTTGAAATCTCATATGTAAACTGTCATGAATATTTCTGATTTCCCCATCCCTTTCATTGTTTTGTTTGTAATGTGAACTACATAATTATGTACTGTTCCCTGTTTGGTAAACACAAAAATGTCCTAAAGTTTGATCATCAATATCTACGCCATCACAGCCTGAGGTTGTGTGCTTGCCAGGGGCTGGACTGTTTCCTGGAAGGAGTTCATAGAAGTGTTCATTTCCATGGCTTTGGTGGTCTGCGACATCCGCCTGAACAGTTTGTGTCCACGCTGGTCATCGGTCTCGTACGCCCATCCCGACCCCGTGCCGGGCAGGAACACCGCTGGGCAGATGTCGGCCTTCTTCGGAGTGTAGCTTCCCTTGTACTCAGTTCTGTCTTCAAACGGAGCCTCGCTCTGGTAGGCTCCGAGGTCGGGCTTGAAGCTCTGTGTCGGCGCCTGAGGGTGCTTGATGTAGTGGGCGCGGAATGTCGTCGTGCCCTCGAATGGCACATCCGGCCTGTGGTACGCGTCCTGGTGGATCTTCGGCCCGACCCTCTCGATCTCCCACCGCCTGAAGGAGTCCTTGAAGGTGGTCTTGTCGTCGAAGGGCGCTGTCGTGGCTCGCTGGCGGGAGGGGGGCCTAGCCGGCCTGGCAGGGGGGACCACATGGCCCCTGTACTCCAGGCCATGCGTGGTACGCAAGTCCATTTCTCCCACGGGCTTCACATACGCTTCCCCGGCATGGGGCACGTACGGTTGCGTCGCCCACTTCTTGAACTGTGTCTTGAACTCGGTGTCTCCCTGGAACGGGTCACGCGACTGCATCGCAACCTGGTCGGGCTTGAAGCTCTCTGTCTTCGGACCTTGCTTCTTTGTGAAGTCCCTCTTCTGTGTGGTCATCCCGTCAAAGGGCACTCCGCTGGGCCTGTACATCTCCCTCTCCCGCTGCTGCTTCGGCTCGAGCGGCTTGGGCACGTACCCGGTCTTGTACTCCGTCCTGTCATCAAAGGGAATGTCGGACACCTTGGCTTCGGCAAGCGGCTTGAAGCTGACGGTGAGCGGGATGTTCTTCCTGGTGTAGTCGTGCCGGAACGTGGTCATCTCTTCCATGTGGCCCTCGGACGGCTTGTAGGCAGCCATGGGCTTGTGGGCAGCCGCTCGCTGGATCTCCCACTTCCTGTAGTCAGCTGGAAGGGTGAAAATAAAACTGTAAGAAACTATACTTTACTTCTACATATGTATATGAGACAGCATCTAAAAGAAACCAGCAAAATACCATTCATTAGCGAAGAAATGCCATTTGTGTAAAATTTGATTCAAGAAAAGACTAAGTACTTTTGTATGTGGGGACTGTATCCATCCTCCCAGCATCGACCTTGCGCTGTGGCTCGTGCCTGATGGGTTTGACGACAGGAACGGTGTGTCCGATGTACTCCTGCTTGTAGGATGACAGCAGGTCCATGTTGCCGGGGATGGGAACGTATTCCTCAGCCTTGGGCAGGGCAATCTTTGTCACCTTGTAGGGGACGTAGTCCTTCCTGGAGAGAAAAACATAGACAATTGATAAATTTTCAGGTCTTGAAAGTTGCAAGTTTAATAACTTTCATAATGCTGTAGATGCCACATTGCAAACAAACGGAATTTAAAGATATCTACGGCAATTGCACCATCTGTCATCAGGTGTTCAAGACATTAATTACGGACAAGGCCTTAATGATACCATTTTTTAATGTGGCTGTCAGAATCATCCATATATTAACTTGCAGTTACCGGTATGTGTCTAATAATTTGTAGATTTCACAGCTGTGATAGCTGTCAGGGCAGCAGGTGGTTTGGATGTGGGATAGCTGGTTGCCAGGGGCAACCACAACACAATTGGCCTCAGCCAAATTAAGAACAACCAGGCAAATTCAATTTCTGGTGCCAAGCTGGTTGAAAAGCTGAAAAGCTCTGTGAGAAGTGTTGGCTTCTCTAATTTTGTTTGGAGAAATTGAAGGAAAAAACCTTTGAAACTCCCTCTCCTGTCACGCCATTATGGATGCCACAATAATGGGCTCATTTAAGTTTGAATGATGTGTTTAGGTTAAAGTACATGACAGCTTTTAGTACTAATGTGGGTTGGGTCATGTTGTTTTTGTTGTTGGAAAAGCTAGTTTTTTTGTTACAAGGAAGCTGTGTGGGGTAACTGCTGAATAATACACAGGCAGGCAATTGAATTTGGACTTCAACGCAACCACATTGAAAAGCAGCGTCATGATGGAATATTTTGCAGTTCAAATGCCATCGCCATGACAACAATTGTGCCCACTCGTCCTGAGATAAATAATGGATAGCAATTTTGTCCAATTACAGAGGATGAGGACGCGAGCACACTGACATCAAATATTCATGTTGCCATGGGTGGGGCATGCCTCCTATATGACGTTGTCACCATGGTTTGCTCCCTTGCCATCCATAAACATTCCCTGACAGGATCGTAACGTAGGTGACATACTGCCCTTTAGTCACTGGAGTTGTGTTGTTTTGGTAGTCCAATGTGGAAATATCACCTTGGCCTTCAAGCTTTTCATACTTTACATATTGTTTCATATTTGAGGGTCATAAGGGTATACATGTGTATATAAAAATCATACTCTTACTGCTTTCAGAAATGGCAGACCAAAACAGTAGTATTGTTTTAATTTTTTCAGCAAATTTTTCTCTCATTGTGTCCATGCGTTTGTCTTTGTATAGTCTGAGTCTACTTACTTGAAGGTTGTGACCCCTTCCATTCTGCCTTGCCCCCTGATTGGTTCCTCATTTGGTTTGAAGGACTGGGTGGGCAGGATGGGGTGCTTCTTGTAGCGCTCCGTGTACTCCGACAGTTTGCACTGGTCGCCACGCCCCGCGATCGGGGCAGCCGGACGATGCGGGCAGCGATGCCGCCTGTAGAGAGGAAAAAATAAAAGAACATCTCATTAGTATTCATATTTCATACCTCGCTGCATCAGTGTATGTCTAAATATACTGTAAGCTAAGTGTAACAACAAGAAGTACACATTTTTCACATCTCATTCATCCAGGCTAACATGGAGTCTGACACACTTGTAGGGATTCTCAGGGAGAATAATTTCTTGTCTGGAACATCATCCAACAACAATAATGACCCCCCTTCACACCAGCTTGACTATTCAGAACAGGGATTGTACAAAGGCTTTATTTTTGGAGTGGCTAAAATCGAAGACAAGTACCCATTACTGCTTGGAATAGCCCGGCTTTATGGCTTATAGTTATACCAAGGGCTCTCTCTACATAAAACCCCATTCCCTTATCTTCTTTCCACTTCTCAGCTTTATCAGTAAGGCTACTGGACACAGGTACATAATTTAAAGTCTTAAGTACGCAGAGTGTCACTGCTTTTTATGGGAGGAAAGGGCCATAAATACTGTTTGGATAAGGCAGCGTGTATCTTTACTGAAGGCTGCTCAGCTGAAAGCGCCTTTGTACGTGTATAGATTATTGCAGCTGTGCCCTTGTAAGGTCAGATGTGTGGCGCTGCTTCAATCCATTATCTGTTTGATTATGAACATGGCATACTAGTACATTGGGAAGGAGAGAACGACTGTCACCCTAGGGATTGTATCAGCTGAACAGAGTTTTATGAGAAAAAAATTCTCTTATGTTTCTCCCATGAGGTATTTTTTCACTCTACTTCTCATCTTCAATTGAGTGCTTTTTTATGGAGAACATTGCTAATTTTCCTGTCCCTTTGAACCCTTCCAAATGTCCATGATGAATTGTAATTTTTTACGCATTTGCCTGCACCTTTGTAGCTACAGCATTATGCTCTGCTGACATGATCCATTTATTTTATCTACCTGATCAGGAATGTGATGCACTTTTCAGAAGGGAAGGACCTGTAACTGCCTAGGGATTGTTTCAGAACAGTGAGAATTTCAACAGATAAGCATTAATGTTTCTCTTGGCTTTTTTCATTCTACTTTTCATCTTGGTTGAGTGATTTTTTTTCTCAGAGTAGATGCTAATTTTCCTGCAGTCCCCTTTAACTCTATCAAGTCTTCAAGATGGATTACCATTCTTCACACAATTTACTACCACAGAGGCGTTGTTAAGGGTGTGTTGGCATGCAAACTGCAATACCACCACTGCGCACTCCTCAATACAAAGGATAATTATGCGATGAATTTTTGATGATTTTTACGTCAAGCTAACAACCATCCATCGTTACTTTGTCTACTGCTGAAACATACGACATCCTTACGTGCAGGTGGGCTATACAGAAGCTGTCACGGTTGCTCCAGTACACAAATTATCGACTGTTGCTATGCCGTGTACACAGCAATAGGGTCATAAATTAGCCACATTACTACCAATGTTTTGTATGAGTATTTGTACACATTTAGAATTGGGTGCAATTTTGTCACACCTACAAAATTCTCAATTTGTTCAGGCATGAAATAATGTGAAATGCGATCCCATTGGTAGCGATGACAGAATCAAGCAAACAAATAGATGAATAATCTGAAATTTTGATCTTAACATTTAGTAGTCTTCAGCACAAAAGGCAAATTTCTGTTCCTATAGATTCAGTAATATATCAAGTGATAAAACAGAACAGACACAAATGGTAAACATTCAGCCTCGACTTTTGGCTGGCAAACTCTCAACGGCTAGTCGTTAATACCACAAGTTATGAAAGGTTGCCCTGACATTGCCTAAGAGTTCAAGTACATCACATTAACTCTTTCTTTTCCTCTACACAGGTCAATAATTCTTTGAGTCCTCTTGCCTACTGTCTATCAGAAAAGCTACCTAGATACCAGGAAACATCTTTAACTTCTTATTGCATATATATATGTGAGATGTGAAATTGAAGCTATAGAAATCGTTTGCTCTCTCCACATAACCTTGGCTGTTAACCATGGTTGCCATGCGAGTCCTTATAAACATTTGCGCGGAAAAATGTCCCATTAAACATCATTAAACCAAGAGGTTGGAACGACGCCCAGTAACATAAGCATGACATTCTCAGTAATCCAGGTACAGGCTGGTTGGGATCATGTTTTACAAACACTTTTGTTATCTGGTAGTTAACGAGATACACTTTCTAAACGCCATTATTCGAGCTAGCAATTAGCTTTAAAGGTTAAACTTCCAAACCGCATGCCACGTTTGGGAAAATCAAGGGCATTATATCCCTGGGAAAATCTACCATAGCAACAGGCAATGAGAATAAGCCAAGAAGAAAACGTTATGTAAACTTTTAGATTTAAGTTTGTTCTTGAATCGATAAGGCAGTATGTTTTATCATACTGACTGCTTAGTGACTAACGTTTAGATTTCTCCAGCGTTGAATATATGAAAGAGAATGAATAAAAAATGCCAGGCCATTGTTATGTCAGCAATGATAAACCATCGATGTTTAACCCTTGGTCATTGTTTGATAATACCTCGATGCGTTGCTAGTGTACACTGAGTATTGAAGCTCACACTCTGGGTGTTAAATAAACAATCGGCACAATGAGTAGGTTAAAGAACATGGCGACCACGGAAGAAAAACTACGGGACCCCAACACAATTTTCTCCATAAAGGCGCGATAAAGCCGTGACATGATGTAAAATTTTACAGGTTGTAGTATGTACCACTGGTAGTAGGGAAAGCTAAGAGCAATTCTACTTTGGGGATTCGTATGGCGACCCGATACAAACGCCACCTGTTCGCGCGAAGCCAGCCAGGTTGTCAGTATACACATACAGGATACAGTACACACACGCTAACCGGTTTAATACCGTAGTTTCTCCCGTGTACTCACCCGCATGTGCAGATCTCACAGATGCACCGCTTCACCATGTTGTCTGGATCTCCAAGATGACTCCCAGATGACTTTGAAAAGGTCCTCCAAGATGTGAAGTGCGCGGGTGAAGCAACGAGAAACCTTGGCACTTCAACGTGTGGCCCCGGTTTTTAGCTGAACTGTGTGCGGGGTCTGTTTACCGGCGTAGCGAGGGAAGCTTTCGGTCGCCATGTACGCGGCTTTGTTATGGTAATGAGCAGGCTTTGTTGACACAATAGACCGCCGTCAGTTACGCACAGGCCACGCCTCTTGTGGGCGGGGCTAAAACACCTGAGCTACCCGCGCTACACCTTGGCAAAACATGTTAGGGACGTGCCGTGGTTAAAAGATCAAGTTGGAGAAATCCTAGGGGATGCACGTTTTATTATCTTAGACGTTTGTGAATCGGAAGCGGTTACACGTACACGGCAAGACGGTGTTCTTTTTATTCATTTTTCGCGCTGTGTCAAATGACAGGTGGATTGTAGCTTTTAGAACGGTAAACTAGCTAGGCGCAATGGGCCACATATCTAATCCCTGGAAGGATCCAGCGTTAATGTTGTGCCCTTGAGAATGGCACCTCACAACTATTTTCTGACTCGAACGATTTGGGTAAAATTCAATTCGGGTAAAAATGAGGCTAGCTTTGCTAAGGACGTCCTCAGGATGGGACGCAAAGCCGGAGGTCCCGTGTTTGAGGAAAGTTACTCCTCGATCGAGCAAGTTTCATTAAGAGCTCCACTAGAGTAGTGGTCCTTCCCGGTGTTAGTGGATCAAACCTTACATTCCGGAATTGTCAACATCTTGAAAAGGCGATAGCCACCAGTTACTAGTATGTCAATTCTTCAACAAATGTGTAAATCTCAGCGAATAGATCTCTGTTTGGGCTGTTAGTTAGCTTATATTAGTCTCTATCAAAGACCTTGACCTGATCTTCTTGGTTCGCTACTTCATGTGTGCGCGAATGTGTGTACACTTGTGTTGCTGTTTGTTATCTTTCGAAATGTGTATTCTTTCAAGAACTATGTTTCACAACGAGGTAATTGTTCATAACATCTACAGCGGGTAACGGCTTAAATTTTATTGGTCGCGCTTGCGTAGAAGGTGCACACTCACACGCCCGCCTTCCCGAAGAGATATTGCAATGTCAAGGGGTGAAGTTTTATTTTCGTTTTGTTTACGTAAAATATTCTCCTTTCCACAATAAAGTTATGATTACAGGTAAGTGGGTATTGTGAGCCTGGGGTACCTGGATATTCAAATACTATGGCTGACAAGTGACGATATGAAGAAAAATACCGTCAGGCAGCTAAATTTATATCAGTCGAGGTCTCATCGGTATCAAATAAAATGACTTCTATAGTTTCATAAATGAAATGGAATGTAAACAGCATCGATTTCTGTGAAAATAAGGCTGTGCTTAATTTTGCGTTTTACTCACATGGTGCAATGATATACGTGTATGGGGGCAGACAAAACTGTAGTTAGCAGGCTGTAGCTAAGCCTATCTTTAATTGTTATTCCTAAGGTCAGAACACGATCGCTAAGCAAACAATTGAATTGTATTTCATTGGATCAGCATACAAACCCCGACATGTTTGGCCAGTTTCTACAATTTCTACTATTTTTCCAGGTACAAAATGTACACGGGGAGCATGGTAACGATCTATACCTCTACCGTCTTCAGTAAACTTCTTCAGTAAACATTCTGGTGGTGCCAAACGACAAGACAATGTGGCATGCAGTTCTACCCTAGCGTGTGACAACATCATCACTGTGTTACAGTATTGTTATTGGTGCGTAGTAACAGCATTGCCAATTACATTATTAAGGGACGGATCAGAAGAGTTAGAGTCGTACGGGGAGTGTAATACTGGAGGAAATTGATGGCAAGGGTTTTATCTTTTAGCAAAAATAGTCTAAAAAGAATAACGCTTAAATCACGGAAGAAAAATGGCAAAAATCAAACGCGCCTCGTAATGTAAGAAACAATATTTTATGGTTCGTCCCTTGCATAACCACCACTCACAGGCCTGGCCGTCCACATCCAACAGTGTTGAACTGTAATTTCAATGTTCTCGTGTTATAAGTACAGCAAGTTGCTGAGAAGTGGTATAAAAAAACGCGAACCAATAGAGAGACGTACCAAGACTTTAGCCTGGATTCCAGGCTACCAAGCATCTGATCGAAACTTACATCTGCTTAGCGACAACGTAGCTTGTTTCTGTGGTGCTTGGTGGTCCTAACATATATATACATATACATAACATGGACCAATGAGGATCGCTGTTTCAGCGTGTGAATGGAAAATGTCATATAATTCATGTATGTCAAGTGGAAAATGTGAGTACTTGTCACCCAGCTGAAATATGTGAAAAGCCGTTCTAATGGATTTTTAAGGGTATTTTAAGAACATCTCAAAGACCATCAAACTATGTCAAGAATTACCCTTATACCATATTGTTTTCTGACAACACAGCATAAAACAGGACATATTCGACCCAAAGAGCACAACATAGCACCAATGCTCAAACCAGGTTTCCATAAAAATCCACCATAGAAGTCTAAATTATGTGAATTTAAGATCGAAAGACCGAACTCGAACCAGTTTCCTCGGGTGGATGAAGTTGTAATAAAATCCCTCTACGAGGGTGTTAGGAGGTCATGAGTTCGAGTCCCAGCCAAGCAACCAGACACCTGGGGTTTTTAAACGATCTATAAAGTACTGGTATTAGTTACCAGTGTTTGTTTGGCGTGGAGTTGACCTGTGTGTTGTCTTACACTGTTATGACCAAGGACGTCAACCCCATGGGCTTCTTCATTGTCCCGATACAGGTCTATATTTCCCGTTTGGTATCCCGACATTTGTAACTATGGGAGGCACAAAGTCAAATTTCCTTCTCATTGTCGAGTAGTTTTCATCTAATAGTACCACCCAACAACTATCTGAGATGGTAGGTCCCACTTATTGTGCTGCATGATGCCAGTCATCTACGTGTAACCCAGACCAGTCTTGATTTCTTCCCCTTTTACAGCCACTTCTACCTGACCTTCCACTTGTCCCTGCACTCAGCCACACCCTGCGCAAACAAACTGTACTGGCTGTGTTGGCTGGAGACGGGTTTCAAATTACCACCCTGGTTGGCACAGTGAACTGACGCAGGCTTCCACACATTTTGGGTTGAGTCAAACCTGCCCAAGAATGCTACCAAGGGGTAAAGTAGTCTTCTTGGGCAGGTGGCTTAAGGGTTGCGCCTAAGGAAACAAAAATTCGAAAAAAAAGTTGATTATTTTGGGCTGTGGCTTCAAGAGGTGGCCAGTTGTCAGGTTTGATCGTATTCCCTGTCCCAATCATGTCCACTGGCTCAAAATTTAAAAGATTCCATTAATTTTCGACCACATTTTAATGAGGAAATACTTTTAATATACGGACTGGCAACCTATAAAAGAAATGGCCAATGGCCTGATGAGGCAAGCACAAAACAAACATGCAAAACAAGTCAATATATCTCTCAGACACAGTTTGATGAACTGACATACTGGTCATATTTGGTTTTATTAGAATCCATAGTGCAACAAATAATAATGTGTTGACAGAACAACAAAAATTGCCCAAAATTGTGCCGAAAGAGATCTACATGTACCTCCATTGATATTGTATGGCTCAACACACTCTTGAAAACTCGAGTATAGCTGTACTGAATACTTTTAAGTACATGCAAATACCAATACAACAATGGATGAAAAACAAGCACATAGGAGGCAAATACTTAAGTATCTGATTTCTACACATCTTGTAGAATAAATAATCTGTCACATCATTTCAAGACCATTACTCAAAGCCATATTGTATAATTTCTGGTATCTACATGATTGTACAACAAGTCAAAACACTTTCCTATACTGTGCTATGACACTCTCATTTAAGCCTCCATCCAATACAGAATGAGAATTGTTATACCTGATCCTTCAACATGTGATCAGTACCTTGTTCTACCACTTGCTCTAAATTTCTGAACAATTTATGTACAAAGGAAGTCTTTGAATAAGAGTAATCAGCTTTTTTGTCATCTTATGAAAAATGAAAATAAGGACAAAACTTGAGCATTCAAACAAAATTTGAACTGTACAAACAGCACAATAAACATATTTTGTATTAGGGAAAGAAAAACATGTATGCCTTTGGTACTGTTTCTTTCCACATTGTGTGTTTAACACACACTGGTATATCATAATTTACAGCTATTTACAACATATAAGGTAATGTTATATGCATATCAGAGTTGTGCTATACAAGTATTTGTCATATTCCTTTTCCACAGCAATGAGAAAATTAACTACAAAATGTTGTCTGCAACAAAAAGTTTGAAGGTGACAAGTACTGGACTCCTCATGTTTCATAACTACAGGATACCCTCTGTTGATCTCTACAGAGACTTAATCATCCTCCATCTCTATAGGGTCTGCATTGTCTTGCTCGGTGGAGTACTCACTGCCATCTTCCTCCTCCGTCTCCCCGTCTGTACCTGTCTCCTCATCAGTAGAGGTGCCTTGGTGATACAGTGCCATCAGCTTCAGAAAACGGTCCGTCACCTAATATAGTATTTCATCAAAATACAAGACAGTTAGGCCATACAACTTCACTAACTTGTTGAACAGGGTGTTTGTCACTCAAGGATGGAAATAGGTGTTATTGGATGGGAAGCAGGGCTCAAAATTACCTCTTGCTTGCACCACCAAGCCTTTAAAAGTCAATGTGCAAGAAAAAAATTAAGAATTTATTGTTCGGTATACAAAAAATATAAAGCCTGACCTGTTGTTGGGTCCTGTCTCCCAGCTGTTCTGCTACAGAAGAGAAGGTTTCTGGAGTAGCTCCCTGCTGCTGACAGGCCTGGAGAAGGGTTCTGTCCTGGTCTCTGTACACATGTGGCCATAACACATTAGCAATACCCATTAAATGTAACCTAAAGGTCAACGTATACATTTTGGACAATTTTCTGGGGTGGGAACTTTTTTTAATAAAATGAATAGTTCTGAAAACTCAATAGTCTATACAAATTAAGTCAGAGTTTAGAGGAACAAGACTAAAAAAATTGGTCATGTTTTACAAAAAATTTCTTAAAAATTACTAAAATAAGAGTAACTTGAAATATTTAGAGTAATTTAAAATAAGAGTAACTTAACATACCTTGTCCACATGATAGCACCATCTCCACTGCTGTTCTTTTCATCTGCTTCATATTTACCTTCAGTAAGCTCCATCTTTTCATCTTCATTCTCAGACCTTGTGGAGATTTGTTCCTCATGTCTTGCAGAGCTTGTTTCCATGTCGTCCTTGTGTCCTCCTTGTGACAAGGATTCTGCTGTCATGTCTTCAACAGTGCCTGATGTACCACTTCCAAGATGTGATGTAACTGCTGTATCACTTGGTGTATATATTCTAGGGTCATGTTGAGTGTCTGAATGTTCACTTTGCGTACCTGAGCGTGATGAACCTGTGCGTTGATCATCCTTGGCAATGTTTCCACCATTTTGTACAGAATTTTCTTCCTGTTCTGATACTTCAGATTTTCTACATGTTCTTCTGTCTTCCTCATCAAATTCTTGCCTAAGTTTGTCTCCTCCATCATGCTGACTTGATACACCATCTTGACCCATTTCTATACCCCACTTGTTTTCTGTGCCAGTCATCTTTGATGTTTCTAACTCTGAAGCAATACTTCTTGCCACTATTTTGGAGGCCTTGGGAGATCCTGTACCTTGTGTGGTATAGCCAGCTGACACAGCTGTGGTAGACAGTTTACCCCTTGGTGTAGAGGACTTTGTTGACTCCTTGCTGACTTGTGAGGCTACTGCTTCAAACTCTACTGTTTCACTCTGCTCTGTTAACGTGTGGGCTTCATCACCAACTTGGCAAACTAAACCAGGTGACGTCACAGCAGCTGCTGCACCAGGTGAAGCAGTGGCAGACACACCCTGCGGACTGTGTCCCAATGTTCTGATGGATTTTGGTGACTCCTCGCTCCCTCCAGAAGCTGTACCACATGACGTAGTGACAGACAACCCTGGATGACTGTGCCCTGATGCTGTGAGTGCTTTAGGTGACTCCCAACTACCCTGAAAAGCTGCACCAGAAGGTGATATAGCAGCAGATAGAGTTTGTAGACTGTGCCCTGATGTTGTGTGAGCTTTAGGTGACTCCAGACTGTGCCCTGATGTTGTGTGAGTTTTAGGTGACTCCTCGCTGCCCTGTGAAGCTGCTCCAGGTGAGGTAGCAGCAGACAGAGCCTGCAGACTGCTGGGGGAGGCTGAACCTGACCCGCTGGCCTCCTCCAGGTCACTGAACTCTGCATCCTGACTCTCATCCCCTGAGCTCAGCTTGTCCTCATCCTGTGGACAGAGGAGTAGTCAGAATGGACAAGGTTATCATCTATCAAGACAAGATAATTATTTGTACAGTGCACCTTGAGTAAAGCAGTGTCACTGAGTGTGTTTATCTTGTCTACATAAAACAGAAATAAATGACTAAATATTGCAAAATGTCTTCACTCTACTCTACTGTGCTTGTGTTATCATCATCATTGCACTTTTTTTAATACCTGATATTTGTATTTATTTCATCTCTTTGTCTCAAGTAACTGATCGGTTAACACTGCACCCTGAATAATGGGTTATGCATTGTACTTCATTAACTCATGCTTTGATAGATTAACTGACAGAATCTTTTTGTTTTGCATGAAAGAGCATGCGTCAAAATGACAAAGCATTAAATTCACTATATATCCTGTGTCTGCATAAAAAGGCAGCCTTCCTAACTCCTTGTTTAACCTTCTCCCTGCTGCCTACATGTAACCCCATAACCAATACAAATTTGGTGCCAAATGACATCCTTAGTAGGCTGAAGGTACAAGTAAGGTCAGGGACTGTATAACATTCAAACTCCTTGTAACAATGACACTTAGGACGTCATACTTGTCAGGAGGTGAATTATGAGGTTTCTGATCTTGGCAACGAGCACAATACGTCTGCCAAGATCACAATGCAACAACAACTGAAGAGAAACAGTGTGATCAGCCCAGACAGAAAATCTATACACACGTTATGCAGACTGATTAAGTATGCAGACAGTATTGAAACTGGTGAATAGGGGTTACGTGCAGGTTTCACTAACACTACATGTACATGTGCATGTACGTGTTGAACAAATAAAATAGTAATGATGCTAGTGCCATTTGACTTTTGTCCTCATTCATAACATGTCTAAATGATTCAGACTGATTGTAAAGGGCATGCATGAAAACTATTAATACCATGTACTCTGTAACAAAAAAGAATATAACACAAAAAAACAACCGTTTTCTGCCAACAACATCACATTTTTGTCTTGCAGATACCAATATGCTATGCATATATGGAAAGGGGTTGATTCAACCTACTCCTTAAAAAAAATTATTAATGACAAATTGACTTTGAAAGTCCAGTTTTACTGCTGAGACTTTAGGTTCCTGAAGGACTGCCACTGACCTCATCTTCCTCCTCCTCTTCCTCCTCCTCCTCCGTGAACTCGTGCTGAGCAATCTCCTGCAGCCTGCGCCGGAACGACTCCACGATGGTGGCGCTCTTCTGCCAGTCAGGCGCGGGAATCTCCTCACACAGGTCCCGCAGGTTCCGCACCGCCTCCTCCGTTACCTGCTCCAGCTCCTCATCAGACTCTGAAAGAGGTCAGGTGAAGGTCATGTACTGTTACAGTAAATTTGTCATGAAAAATTATTTATATTTTCATCAATGTATGTCTGTGTGTGTGTCTGTCTGTCATCCAGATAACTCAAGAATGGCTGGATGGATTGCTTTTATATTTGAGTGTTGGTAGGATGTGACGAATGTTGAAAATGATTAGATTTTGGCCCCCCTGGAAGCTTTTCTAGGTACTGCAGTGGAACATCTGGTTTTCAGCATGAAAGTTCATCTGTGTTGGTATATAACATTATGATAACAGTTTACCTTTACATAACCAACACCGAGTAAATTGGGACTTACCCCAAATTTTCGACTGACTCCGTCAGCCTTGTTAACGGAATGGACCCTTCTACTGCAGCTTCCGGGACGTGACGTCGGAAACACGTGGTTGCAGCAGAGGGTCATACGTGGCAGATAACCTATGACGCCCCCCGTCTCTGTTCAGTGTTGGACGGTTGGCCCAAATGTACACCGCCTCTTTCACTCCTCTCGCAAAGAAATCCGGTTCTGTGTCCAGCATTTTCACCTTATCTAGTGAGACAGAGTGTCCTGGAGATTCTATATGTATATGCTGGGAAACTTCTGAACTGATGGAGCTGGGACGTTGGTGTTCAAGGAACCTTGTTTTCAACGAACGCTCAGTTTCTCCGATGTGTCTCTTGGCACTGACCCTTGTTAGTGGCACCTTGACACGGAATGTGGTAAACCACTCCACATTTATTTTCCTTCATTTTCGTCTCACTAGATAAGGTGAAAATCCTGGACACAGAACCGGATTTCTTTGCGAGAGGAGTGAAAGAGGCGGTGTACATTCGGGCCAACCGTCCAACACTGAACAGAGACGGGGGGCGTCATAGGTTATCTGCCACGTATGACCCTCTGCTGCAACCACGTGTTTCCGACGTCATGTCCCGGAAGCTGCAGTGGAAGGGTCCATTCCGTAAACAAGGCTGACGGAGTCAGTCGAAAATTTGGGGTAAGTCCCAATTTACTCGGTGTTGGTTATGTAAAGGTAAACTGTTATCATAATCTGCTTTTCTGGTTTTTGTTGTGTACTGTTAGGCCACTGATTTGATCAAATGGATGATCCTCTGCGAACCTCAAAAGTGACACAGCATGTGCATGAAGCATGTCTACCTTGTGAACTTTCTTCTGCATCTTCCTCATTGGTGGATTTTCTTGTCTCCTCATCCTCCCCAGCTCCTGTCTCCAGGCCTGAGCCCAGTGGACAAAACTTGGCCAGCTCCGATGTTTGGTGAGCAGACAACTTTTGTGACCGTGTCTTAGCCTTCCTGCCACGTCCTGCCTTGGTGTTAGAGCTGTTTTCAGTCCCAACCAAATCCTGGTCTTGGGTCAGAGGAGATGAGCAGCTTTCCTCCACCATGGCTGTGTCCAATGATGGGCTGTCCCTGGAAGTTTCAGAATCAGTCTTCTTACGACCACGCTTTGCGGGGATTTTCCTGCGTGTCCTGTCGGGAGTGGGGCTCTCCCTGGTGTGGAGGAGAGCCTGGTGTCTCAGGATGATGTCCTTCTTGGCCTGCAGGTCTTTGGGCGTAAGTTTGGTGTTGCAGGCAACACAGTGGCGGTTTCTTCTCTGGACCCGTAGGTCAGTGGACGACTCATGGCACTCACATCTGTTCAAAATGGGAAACAAAATCAAACAAATTATTCACCTCCTGGTCATGTGACTGATGAATGATGGCAGGTGCTATCTGAAAGCTTCTCTGCTGAACTGTGCGTATACGTAGTTAATCCTTCTGTCACTACAGATTAGACTACTAAGCTAAAAGTTCTTTAAAAATACTAATATGCATTTTATCAAACATCTTCCCTTCCTTCCCTTCTAATTGTTTTAATGATTTTTGTGAGACATGCATAATATTATGAGATGAAGATTATTTTCAACATAAATAAAATGAAGTTGGACAGCTCTGAACCTACATGACATTTCTCTCCCTTACTTACCTGCACTCCTTGGTGCCATGTTTCTGTGCCAGGAGCAGTTTCCATGGATCCACTTGTTTCTTCTCCCTAGTCACTTCCTCGTCATCTTCTTCTGGCAGGACAATCTGGAGACAATAGAATGAGCATAGTCATTGCAAATTCTTACCCAATGGGTGCAAGTGACAGGAAAAGGATAAACAATCAATGAAGCACAATAAACACAGGTACATAAATGTAAATTACTCTAAAAGCTGGCTCTAAATTGTAACTTGTGAGTTTTCTATTTCTGAGATAGAGGAACAGGAAAGATCCCACTTTTTCTGTAATGTGTGGGTTTGAATTGGACATATTTGAATTGCGGGGCATATGATTAAAAAAATTAATACTTTTGTGGAAAAAGTCTTACTTCCTCAAAACTATCAGGCACTTCATCCCCATCACTGTCACTGGCCATGTGGATCTCCTCAAAATCTCCCATCATACTTTGGGGTGGTGGCAGGTCAGGGAAAAAGCGGGTGAACTCCTGGAAGTGTTTGAGCATTGATCAGTAATTAGCATCAATCATGTTGTATTTGCTCTTACCTATCTATTTATTTATTGAGATGTAGAAGGATTGACATAACAGGTGACGATCACCTTAAAGTTTTAAGATGTCAACCTGGAGACCAGGCTATAAGGTTTGGGGAAGGATCCCTACTCTTTTTGACAAGTACAGCAGGAACTTAAAACATGCTTGAGGTGTGATTCTCCTCAAACATGGACTCTTTGCTTTACTTTTCATCTGAAATTGATTTTGACTTGACTGGAAGAGCTGAATCTGACCTGCAGTAGGTATGGCTGTCCCTGTAGCAGTGGAGTGATCTCCTGTCTCAGCCCCTCCAGAGAAGCGCCCTCCCGCATGTAGCTGGCAAACACTCGCAGCACCTTCTGGTAATGGTCTGGGTTCTCACTGCATGGAGAGGAGCAAGTCAAACAACTTCACCCCACTTACCCAGACTGCTTTGCCTCCCCAGGTACTTTCAACATCAACAATAAAATAAATCTTATGTAATCTCAATAAATCTTTGATTTGATTGGTTTTTGATTTGTAGACCAGCTTGTTACATACTACATAATTCTTTTGTCTTCAATATTGTTATTATTTCTTTTGGTGATGTTACATTTTATTTGTATGTAAGTGTAATTATTATTGCCTTTGCCCAATCGTCAGAACATATCTGTGAATAAAAAATAGAAAGTCCTAATAATATTTTCTGCAGTGTTTCTCACCTGAAGAAGACCTCTAGTTTCCTGAGGAAGGACCTGGCCTGGACATACTCCTGATGTTCCATGAACAGGTCACACTCCACGGCCTCGGCAGGCTGCAGGAAGGCCGCAAACTCCCCCAGCAGCACCGGCCAGCGAGACAGGACCCGCCGCAGCTCCTGGTACAGCTGCACGATCGTCTTCCCGTCCTGGTGACCCTGGTGGAACACCTGCAGCACCTCATGGTACTTTCCTGGGTGAGGGAAGGGTGAGGGGAATGTTTTTAACCTCCAGGCTGCATAGCCACATAACCAATAAAAATTTGGTGCCAAAAGGCTACCTTAGCAGGCGGAAGGTGAAAAAAAGTTCCTGGTACAGCTTGAATCCCAGTGCCTGTATGGAACCCATAATGTATTGCCTGCTAGTACTTTAGAAGAATGTCTCGTTTAAGGTCATATTTGAGTACATGTATTTAATTTTAAGGATGATATCCAGTCTATAGTTTTCAAATGTAGTGTCAGAGAAGATATCATCTGTAACGGGAAAACTTCTGATCGAACAAAACAAGGTAAAATGCAGGTTTTGGTCAAGTGCAGAACATTGTGCCAATTGTTTGTTGGACCTACCCTCCTCATCTCTGAGGGAGTCCCTGACCCTCTCCAGGAAGTTCTTGGCCATCATGGTCTCTCGTTCCTCCCGTAGCGGATCCCTGTCCATCAGATCTGAGTCCAGCAGCAGTAAGGTCGACGCCATGTCTTTCTGGAGCTGTTTCCTCCTCCGCTTGGCTTTCTTCTTCACCTGTAGATGTAAGTACAATTGTGTAAATAAACTTTGGCCCACACATCTCTTGCAATCTACAAGAAAAAAATTAGTACACAGATAAGGTAACATGTACATAGTTGACAAATCCTAATATGTATCAGAATAAGATTTTAACAAGATAAGAAGATACACCCTTACCATGACCATTCTCTTAGATGTTGCAGACTGTTCTTCACCCATCTGACCTTCTGCATCAGCCCCATGTTCAGCTTCTACATCTTTAGCCAACACATCCTCTGTACTGGAGACTAGCCCCTCATCAACAACAACAGGATTGTCTTCTGATACAACTTGGTCTACATGTGCCTCTTCTGAAGGATGTGCCGTGATTCCTTCTACTCTCTGAGGTGTACTTGGTTGCAGTTGTTCTGTACAAGGCTGCTCTGAACATGGCATTTCAGTTCTATCACTTTGTGCCACAAAGACATGTTGTGGTTCTGGTTGTTCTGTAAATGGCTGCACTAAGCATGCTGCTTCAGGTCTCACAGTTTGCTCAGAAACATCTTGCATTATTTGAATTTCCTGAAGTTTCAAAGGAGTGCTGGAATCCTCTGTCATACATATGTCTTCAGCAACACTCTTACATTCTTCCCTTCCTCTCTCCTCACTTAGAATTGTCCCTGCAACACTTCTATCAGGACCTGTACATGTGGATTCTGGCAAGTTTGTAGCTTCTTGAAGGGGGCTTTGCCGGTTCTGATTCCCTTCATCCACATTGGTAGATATCTCTTCCACATATACATCTGCACTAGCCTGACTGTTTGTGGCAGTTTCCTGTATGGTGAATATGTCTTTGCAGGGTGGCAGTCCTGGTGAGGTGGTGTGAGGGAGTGGTAGATCACTGGCTGTTGTCTCTTTTGGAGTCTGTCCTTGCATTTGAACACTGGTCACAACGGAATCTTTACATAGCATTTCCCCTTCTCTAGAGTCTATTGCAACCTTTTCTACTGACAAAGAGCTAGTGTGTGATTGCTCAGGTACTGGATCAGTTGTACTTGTCACAGAAGCCGTTTCAACCAGTGAAGTGGGGACAAGGCTGGATGATTCCACTGTACTGAGTGTGTCTGCTACTTTTAGTGGCAGATTTGAAGCAGTGCTGTTTGAAAGACTTGACTGTAGGCAGGTATTCTCAACAGACTGACCTGTACTGCTGATGACAACTGTTTGGGGAGATTGTGTCATAGAAGCTGTGGTGGAAGTCGGTGAGACAACTACAAACACACCACCTGCTGTGCCCCCTAGAGGCTGGACACTGCCCTGCAGCCCAGGTACAGCTGCAGGTGGAGAAGTCTGACTGAGGTTGCCAGGGACAACGTTGCTAGGCAACATGATGTAAACAGGGGTGCTGCTATCAATACTGCTGATGTGAGAAACGTCAGTTGATTTTGGGGCAAGAGTTTGAAGTGTTTTTGCAGTATTTTCTGCTGTGGATGTAGAAATTGTGGCAGATGTAGTGCTACTACTGGTGATGTTCACAGTACTTTGTACTTTAGATGGGGACTGAAAGAGTGCCTTCTTCACTGACATCACTGGTACAAAGCCCTTGGGAAGGATACCTGCAAACACAAGAAAAACAAGAAATCAGAGAAATACCTGTGAAGTGGATAGAAAAAAGACAGAATGACAAGAAAAGTTTACAATTCCCTCTGGTCAATTCCTGAAAAGTACTGTTGATAATATTCATTCCTTCCTACTACAAACTATACCTCATCACCATAATGTACATGTACCTCTTTGTGTAGGTGACAGTTTTTCTGACTTCTTTGGAGACAAATTCCTCAACTTCTTACACTGGAGAGGTTCTGTATTCTTTTGGCTGTCCTGCTGATATTCCTGTACAAATATCAAAAGGAAACATGTTTACTTAACAGTTGGAACTTGTCAAAAACTGTAGCCATAACATTTGTAGCACCATAGTCATAAGCCCATAGTCATTTGTAGCACCACAGTTATTGTCACCTATTCCAAAAGGAAATGTCCTAACACCTGTCAGTCTCACCTGAAGCCACTCTGGCAGGTGTTTTGCCTGCAGCTGTGCAGGTGGCACAGCCTGGACTGCCTCCATATCAGGACACACCAAGGGGAGGGCAGGCAGCTGTTTGGTCTTGCTGTACACCTGGATGGGACAAAGAGGTCTTTTAATTAACCTGCAAACTAACCCCATAACCAATAGAGAATTGGTAGCCGATTGGCTACTTCAGTGTGCTAAAGGTTCCAATTGTCATGCAATCCACACAATCCCTGAGAGTGTTTAAGGATGGTTTGCACAAATACCTCCACCAGTAGTTACAAGCACTGTTCGACAGGATTGTCAGTTTTTTAAATTATGTATATTGTAAATATGTTATTGATTTAGATGTGTTTGTGACTTGTCTAGTTGTCAACCATGTTTGTATAATGTATTGTCTCTGTGAATGAATACCAGGAAGACTAGCGGTGGACCCTAGGGTCCACCGCTAATGGTTATTCTAATAAAGTTTCAAAGTTTCAAAGTTTCAAAGGTTAACATGTACCAGAGGCTAGTGAGAAAATGGTTATTGCACAGGTCCCACCCAAGCTTCTGAAATAATGAAAGTAATTATATAATTAACTGATCCTCTACACTTTAAATATATCATCCAAATTTAAGGGTACTGCATAAACTATATACTATAGAGTGTACAACACATGTTGGCATAACATTCAAAGATCAAGTCATGAGGAATTCTTTTACCACTTATAATAGGCCTATTGTCTTTTAAGTTTATTGAGAAAGCACAATTTTGTTTTATCATAGAAGTATGAAAAAGTCTAGTGTGTGAAACTGGTGCAGACCTGGACAATGTTGCCTGTCTTCTTCTTGTTGGCCTTGAGGTTCTTGATGCGGATCCTGATCTGGTCGGATGTCTTGGTGGGGATCATGTTGTCCCTGATGTAGTGGATCATCTCCAGGGTGGACATGCCCTGGTACTGCTGCATGCCCAGGGCCAGCAGGCTGACACAGAACAACACAAATAGTTTAACATGCAGGGCTCAACATACTTGGGAATGTACTGTACAGAAGCAATACCGGGGGTAACTCAGGTTGTTGACTCAGAATCTGAGGGTTCTGTATTTGAATCCCTGGCAGGCCTCAATCTTGTGTCCTTGGCTTTACAACTACATTGCACATTTATTATCTCACTCCACTTGGGTGAAAATTATTAGTAACTTTAGTTATTGATGTCCTCTCAGATGGGGTATTTGAAGACAGTCACATCTTGAGCTCGTTAAAGATCCCACCCCACTTATCAAAAAGAGTAGGGATCCTTCTCGGTTTGAGCAGTTCAAACCTTGCAGCCAAGTCTTACACAGCTTGTGCTTACTGTACAAAACTGGAATGTTACACCGAAAGGTGGTTCACTGGTTATGCAAAACAAACCAACAAAAAGCACATCCTACTTGTCTTCTGCCGGGAGGAAGTATGGTTTCTCCTTGCCATGTTTGATCGGGTCATACAGGACAGGTCCACTTGTGGGGAGGAGGGCAGGGTAC